AAAATTAATTAAGTCAGTAGCTGATAGGCTTACGGTAACACACCACCCAGTATGTAAATTACTGCCTTCCAAGGAGTTTGCATTTTAAAAGCTCCCTAGGGATCTCACCAACATCTGCCCTCCCCCCACATCTCCTAAAACTGCAAGGCAAAGGAGGGCTTTTTTTTTTTTAGGGACTTCGACAAATAGCAAATCATGATAAACCTAACATTTGACGTACTTTTCTGCAGGTTGCAAAGGACTCAGAGGAGGGAGAAGGTCCAGAGTATCTCTATGCAAAGGATATTCCCTAAACATTGCTAGGAAATGGGTGTAAACTGTAGAATCGGAGCGGGGGACAGAGGAAATATAAGGTTGGGGGAGGTACCTCTTGCAGGATCTTGCAAACAATAGTCACTTACAAACTCTTTTCCCCTCCATTCCCAGATAACAAGTAGCTTTGAAGGCCTGGCTCAGCTTTAAGAGGACCTCAAATTCTGGAGGGAAAAGTTAAGAACCAGCCAACTTACCAAATGGATAATCAGTGCTCAAAGACTCATCTACCTTATCTAACCACATCTTAATTGCTTTAGCAATTCCTGTTCTCAAAAACATCTAACCTGCCCCGCCACAAAAGGAAGGTAAAGGAGGAAAGGAGGGAGGGAGGGAGAAAAGAAAAGGAAAGAAAAGAAAAGAAAAGAAAAGAAAAGAAAAGAAAAGAAAAGAAAAGAAAAGAAAAGAAAAAAAGAGAGAGAGAGAGAGATGTTATGTCTGCAACACAGACTAAAGATAAAGGGTAAAATCCCACAGGATTCTAACTCGTTTTGCACTTCCAGGCAGAAGTCTAACCTTGTGATGGTGGAAGGCGACATGGTTTGAAAACCCAGGTGGGCCACAGGCGGCAGAGTTTGAGAACAGAACAGCACACTTCACAAGAGCTCCGTGGTTTAGCTGTGCAGGGTTTACACACATTTCACAATTTGCTCTTACCATTTCCAATAAGCACCAGGATTTTAGTTTATGTGATGAAACTGTCCAATTTACTGATGCAGGTAACCTGAGTCTTTACAGAATTGTATTTTGATGTGGCTTCTGCATTTCAAAGTAAGAAGCATGTTTTTTTTTTCTTTTATATTTAATAAAACCATGTTCTCAGCACCCAATCAGTCCCACGCTCTGGAGACAGAAAAAATGAGTGAAATATTGACCCTGCCCTCCTGGCATTTACAACTGACAGTGTTTCGCTAAGTTCATTTCCTCCTAATTCTCAATTTACATATTCACTCATTAGCATTTATTCATTAAAGCACAGCTCAAACAATTTCATGCCATAAATTATACCATTATTTCTTCTCTAAATAAGCATTTTGTTAACAAGTATCTAAAAGCAACTACTTGGTGAAGAACCGAATGGCCTGAATTAATTTAAATGCAAAATGAATCCTGATAAACTCAACCACCCTTATTTACTGAGTGAGACCTCGCCTCCCTGCCAACACCTTCCCCAGGGAGAGCCTAACAAAGTGACTGGGGACAGAAACTGTGCTCATTCACTTAAAAAAGTTTTAGCCTAACAGGCCTTGAGGTTTGTTTCACAGCTTAGAAGACACTAAATGAATAAAGTAGCAACTGTGCCTGAAACCCTGTTGGTACGTTTGGATGCTTATTTCCTCCACTAGCTCTACTCCCCTCCAGTTCAGTATTGAAAGACAATCCTTCAAACAGCATTTCCCTAAAACACTGGATGAAATTACATTTCTACCAAGTTGATGTGGGACAGTTAATGGTGGAGAATCGCGGCCTCAGCCTCCTGATGGTGGGGGTGGGGTGGCGGGGGTCCCAGAAGCGGAGTGCAGTCTGACGTCGCCAACTAGCCAGCTACACATGCCAGTGGGCAAGTCCTGCCTCCTGTCTAGGCTGATAGATGGCGGAGTCCCTTATTTTAAATACAAAATTAAGGAAACTGTGTTTTTAAAAATCTCAGTAAGAATAGAGAGTGGCAACTGTCAGTGTCTTGAGATAGCCCCCCAAAGATGCAGTTTCATATAAACAATTAGATGACAGCTTTCTAATCAAATAGAAATCCTTCCTGTCAATCTAGGTGAGTTTCTCCAGGCAGGCACAAAGGAGGTAACCCGTGCCTTCTGAATTTTACAAAGGAACAATTCTGATGTTCAAGTTTACCTCAAGGGAAAATACTATTGTATAAAAAATGGATAAGACCCATAGATTCCATTGTTGGGATTATACCCTAAGAATCCTGAAACACCAATTCAAAAGAACCTATGCACACCAATGTTCATAGCAGCATTATTTACTAATAGCCAAGTGCTGAAAGCAACCTAAGTGCCCATCAGTAAATAAGTGGCCCAAAAAACTGTGGCATGTTTACACAATGGAATACTACGCAGCGGAAAGAAAGAATTCCTACCTTTTGTAACAGCGTGGATGAAACTGGAGAGTATTATGCTAAGTGAAATAAGCCAGGTGGCAAAAGACAAATGCAGTACTATCTCAGCTATAACATGAACCTAATGAACAAAACAGACAAACAAGCAAAATAGAACCAGAGGCATGGAGACAAGGAACAAACTGACAGGGACCAGAGGGGAGAGGGGAGCGGGGATAAGGGAGGAAAGGGGAAGGGCCACTGACCCAGGGACCTGGGGAATAGGGTGGGGACTGACTGTCGGGGAGGACAGGCAGGGCAGGGGACAGCGGCGGGGGTGCGGGGGGACAACTGTAATATAACAATAAAAAATATATATCATATAAAGAATAAGATGTTATGTTGTTAGCTTTAATTGTGCTCTGAAGTTGGTTTCACTATTAGTAGTAAATAATAAGTTAAAAAAAAAGATAAAATTGATAAACATAAGTGAGCATAACCTATTTTGAACATTTTTACATTCTTGCCAGCCTCACACTGAGCTGGTTCCATAAAAGGTACATTATTTCCTGGCACTGGCCGGGTAGTTCAGTTGGTTATAGCGCCATCCCTCTATGCCAAGGTTGTGGGTTTGGTCTCTGATCAGGGCACACACGAGAAGCAACTAATGAATGCATAAATAAGTGGAACAACAAATTGATATTCCTCTCTTCACCCTCCTTCTCTGCTCTCTCTAAAATCAATCAATAAATTTCAAAGTACATATTTTCTTTTCTCCTGTATCTGCCCTTTGAGTAGCAGGTCTGAGCTTCTTGAGCCCCACCCCACCTGGTAACCTGGCCAAAAGAACACTGCTACAATTGACCCAGCAGCGCTCGGATCTGCCAGGGAAAGACGGGTAAGTTGTCAGGAAGTACCACCTGCCAACCTTCCCCTCCAAACAACCCTGAGCCCACACTTTCATTTAAGTGAGCCCCTCCAGCTCTCCCTTCCCCAGCCATTGCCCTAGCAGGGAGGCAGTGTGATGTTATCAAAGCCACTTTCTCAGTGACTGATAATTTTCAATGAGATCTAAGCCAGAAACGAGATCAGCTTCCTTCGTGCTTGACGAACTTAAAAAACAACCTGCCACCACAACTTTAAAATGTTCATTGGGTTTCTGGAATTTCACTGAAGGACTCTACCATTAGTAATGTTTAGAGAATACAAAGACAGGACGTTTAAAATTTAAAAGTACATACATTTTTAAAATATTGGGGAGTGGAAAAAATTTAAAAAAAAACAAAAAATAAAATATCAGAGAGTGAGAAGAGCAGACAGAAATCTTGGACCAACCTTCCCTGGTTCTCTGTACACTGATAATCATAAACACCAATGGACCCCTGAGAATGGAAGAACTGGGCCTTTGGCTAGCAAAAATCAGGCACAAGGCCATCTGCAGGGGGAAAAAAGAGAGAGAGAGCATGCTATCATTTTTTGAGCACCTACTATATGCCATGCAGCATACAGAGTACTCCACATACATCAGATTAGCTAAATCTGGGCAAACATAAAAAGCAAGGCTCCTCTGCCTCACTTTTCAGGTGATGAAACCGAAGATCAGAGGGAATGAGCACCTTTGTCACCTATCAGTCAGTGGAAGTTGGGACCTGACCCAAGCTAAGTCACTGTAGAGCCTAACAGCTTCATTACTGTGCTAAAAACAATACATTGTTCATCGTTCCGAAAAGGGAGTTTCTTTCTAAAAACTACACCATCCACTTGAAAAACCAAAGATCCCAAAGTAAATCGTGAGCCTTTTTCAGTGATCTATACAACTGCCAACTCCAAATCTTCAAGCAAAAATTGACTTTTTAACATGAGGATTAAGATGTCTAATGGTAACAGTCCCCTCAGCTGATTCGTCTACCTGACTACCCACAGCTCCATCAAAGTAAATCAAATACCCCCAAGGCATCGAACCTTCAGCAGTTAAAGCTTCATTCCCCATGCAGAACTATTTTTCAGAAATTGTGCCAAATCTATGGGCGGTTTGAAAACGTTACTGGACATTTCAAAATACATGACAAGACATTTAGCAAAATAGATCCCTTTGTTTTTAGTCCCAAACATATAACAACAAACACCCTCCAATTCTACAAGTTGAAAAACTGCAAACAGACTACGTAAACTTTTTGGTGGTGCTGAGTAAGGCTATGGTTGTTTTTCTCTCCTGGTAGGACAACAAGCGGTGAAAAGATAAACATCAGTCAACCTCAGCCTCTTCCCAACTCCAACTGTGACAGTACACCAGCCAAATACTATTTATTTACATTTACTCTTTGAAGGACTCTTTCCAGCCTTCTCCACACCAACTTCTCAGCAGGTGTCCCAGATTAAACTGTTGACTACCACCGGATTGTTTAAAAAGAAAAAAATCTTTGATGTGATCTGTGGCTGGTTATTTTTTAATTAGGGTTGAAATCCTATACCGTTTGTAAATTTAACCCCCTAAGAACCGGAGCCAGAGAATGACGACTCCAAGGAGCGGGCTGGCCAAGTCGGCGCGCGCGCAGGGGTCGCCGAGGGGCTGCCCTGACCCGCCGGCCCGCAACCGTCCCTTCCCGAGTCTCCTCTGATCCAGGGAACTCACCAGGATGCCCATCACATCGGTCCAGAGCCGGGAAAACGTCTTGGACATGCTGGCGCCCGTCTCGGGCTCCGGCTCGGGCTCCTCGGGTTCCGGCTCCGGCTCGGGCTCCGGCCCCGGAGCGGCAGCTCCCGCATCCTCCATGACCGTGTCCCGCACGCGGGCCGTGCGTCTCGGTCCCTGGGACACTCACGCCCCTCGCAGGCGCGCGGCCGGCCCCCGGCGCCCGGTCCCCGCCCGCCGCGTCACTGAGCCGTGCCCCCGCGCCGCATCCCCCAGCAACCCCGCGGGGGCCCTTCGCAGGCTCCCGCACCTCGGCTCTAGGCGGCGGCGGGGTGCGCGACTGACAACTCCAGGAACTTTCCCACCCCGGCTGCGCGCGGCCACGGGGTAGCAGGAGGCAAAGTTCGCACCACTGAGTTTCACGACGGGGATTTCTGGCAGCCCAGAAGCAATTAAATCCTCTGCAAAGGCGTTCCTTCCTGTGACGGGGACCGACTCACTCAGCCACGCGACTCACTTCTGCCAGCAAGTCTGAGCACGGCCCGGCAGGGGTGACCGCGGTGCCTCTGGAGCTTGGAAGGAACTCCCCAGGACCCCTCTCTTCAAAATGAGCTCTTCCAGCTCCACATGACTCTCTCCCCTCCAAGCTACAGAAAGCGTTTAGCAACAAAAGGTGCTCTGATGTCAGGCTCTTTGCATGGAAATGAGCCACAGACAGGAGAACAAATCGCCTGTTGAAAGAGCAGCCGCGCTGCTGTCTCCCGCCCGCACAAGTTTCCAATCTCGCCATTCACTGAAACATTTTGGTCCCAGAAACTCCAAAAGTTCATCTTTAAACTACTCCCGCCGAAAGAGTTCACAAGCAATCAGTTACAATCCACACCTCACCCCTCGGGAACTCGGGCGACCTAAGGAATTACAACTGCCTCTGCCGGCCAAGACTTGGTTAAAAAACAAGTGTGAAACCTTGGGCACGAGCCATTGTTTGTATCATTTTCATTAAGAGTTGGGATATTTTGGTCCCTGGGCGCCCGCAATGCCGCGCACTGCTAGGGGCTTCAGCTAATTAGAAGAAATGGCCTTTGGGTTTTGATGGCTTCTTTACAGCAAGGACATAGGGAAGGGCCATTTTCAAAACTAAATGTTATGGTCTTAGCCATTTAGCCAGTCTACACTGGGGCCCCGAGCGTGTTTTTCCAAGGACGAGATCCACGGCAGATTTGTTTTATGAGGGAATAAGCCACATTAGGGGTCTTACCCCTAATGTGATCCTTTTTTTGTTTTTCTTAACACTCAGAATTTTCCCTGGAATATGACAATGCACATCAGCTTTGATTTGGTGACTGATCACTTTGTGAAACAGTTTAGAAACCACCAGGAACCCGCCCTTAAGTGAAAGGGCTGAACGATACAAAAGGGAAAAAAGCAGGTGAGGTGCCCCAGGGGAAGAGAGCCCTTGCTTGTTCTAGAGGCCTCTCCTGGTGTTGCTTTTTTCTTCTGAGCCCACAAAAAAAGGAAGGGATTAAGAGCATGTCCTGAAATCCCCTTACTAAAAGCATTAATTACTGGGATTAACTATCAGTGCAAATGAATGAATCGCCTTTATAAAAAAATTCAAATTTTAAAAACTTTTTTGAAACTAATTAAATTTATAAGCATAATCCTCAAAGACAATACTTCTGCAAAGGAAGAAAAGGGATAAGAAAGGCTTCCCTTGATAATAAGGAGGCATTGTGTTGATGGAAAAAGTGCACTGGGAGCTGAAAGAACGTGGCCAGGCCTGCTACTGTCTTGTGCTGATACCGGAGATGCTCGTAATCCAAATAAATTCAGTTAAAGTGGGGCAGGCTTATTATTATTACATTTATAAAGACATGAAAATAAGTAAATGATGGAAATTTGTAAAATACTCTTTTAGAGTTGATTCTATTAGTATATTTAAGAATTTCAGTGTACAGTGTTAGCCACTTGGTACTTTATTAAATTCAAGGAAACACAAAGAACTGTGCTGCTTCTACCAGCAGGCAGCTTGTTCTCTGCATAAATACTTTCTCCTAAGTGACTGAGCCCAGAGTCAAGCAAACAGCCGGGTGGGGACTGGGCAAGGGGAGGGCTGACTCTCCAGGACCAATCACAGGTCTTTCTCTTAACGCATCAGTTGAGGTGGGGGGAAGCACTTAACCTTTGGAGGATGAGGGGTGCAGCGTCCCAGTCTTAGCTGAGGCCACACTAACTGTTGCCCACCTCCTCAGAGATGATATTCTATCTTAGAATCATCTAAAGATAGGTACCTTTTAGCAGCAACACATACATACATGTTGATACACTTAAACCTTAGCCAGCATTTTTGGCATTTACAGAAATCAATCTACTCTAGATATTTAAGCTGCTTTTCCTGGTGCTCCCTAATAAATGGATAGAAAAATGAGATAAGTAAATTCAGGGAGGCCGGGTAAGGGGAATGTTGATAACAGTAATTTTTTTTTTTGCTTTTACTTTTATCAGCATTTAAGCTGAATTTACTCCTAGGGCATATGTTTTTGTTTCTTCAGTTTCTTCTGGGACATCTTTTTCTTCCTTGCAGCCTCCTCTCCTGGTTTAGGACCGTCTATCTCAATGTAGCAGGGCAAGCTCATGTTGTGGGTGAATCCCCCGATGAACTCTGTAAGTTCTACATTGCATCTTGGGAGCTCTGTTCACCTGGATGTGCTCAATGGCCAGAGAATGTACATGTAAACCCTTAAGTTCAGCATTACTTTCTGCATTTTTAAGCATGTGCAGCAAAAACTCAGCCCTCTTTTTGTGCCACCGACCACGTGCCCAGCCCCACTGCTTGGCTTGGGCACACCTACCAACTCCACCATTGTAACGATGGAATGGAAAACATTGCTTCTGCAAAGTGACGTCCTTTGCACACTTGGTGGCTTTTTGGATATGCATACCCTTGATGGCTTGGGCAGTTTCGCAAGTGTTCTTAAAGTGAACATGAAGGGCTGAATCTCTTGATTTGCATGATTTTGTGGAGTTATCTGGGTCAAGTGACTAGTGAATCGTTTTCAGAGGTCACCTCTGGCCGCTTTTGGGAAGAGCTTGATAACAATAATTTTGCTGTCTGTGCATCAACATGAGATTTTGAGTAGTCACTTTTTTATTTCTGGAACATGAATAGTTTTGCTGACCATTTAAAAAATGAAGCTGAAACTCTTCGCTCATCAACTTCATGATGCAACCCTTCAAAATGAGTGTGATTACTTCTTCCAAATTTTAGTCTTTTCTTCTTGAGTTAATGCCAATCTTATTTCCAAAACTTCCTTCAGGGTTTTTTTTCCCACAAAATATGAAAGAATAATCATCAACATCACAATCATCATCACACTATTTCAGAGTCCCACAGTGTACCACTTAAAACAACTTTTATCATAGCGCGGGATAGGGCCCAGGGGGTGGTCTTGGTCAAATCCCTCGTTTCTCAGAGAAGAAAGAAGTGAGCTCCAGAGAACTTGAATGGTCAGTCCTAGTGAACACAGCTACATGGAACAAAATCAAAGTCAGACAATTGGATAATTTTTAACAGTACTTTTATCTAGAATGTGATGTGTTTGATTCTCACAAAGCTCTGGAAGATAGGCGAGCATAGATGCTCCATTAAAGATGTGCGCACAGAAAATCTGCAGGAATCCTGCTCCTCTCTATTCCCTTTCCATGGGTTTCTCTCTCACCCAACTCATTGGTATCGCTATAATGTTAGGGGTGTTCCAAAGGATCCGTGTCTGGAATCTAGAAGAGGATTTTTCAGGCATCTACTAGAGACTCAAAAGTTGACTGTGAAATCAATTCTGTGGGTCCCAGTGAACATTTGTTACAATGAATGAAAAGAAAAATCAGAATGCAATCATTATCATTAAGAGTAAATATAGATAATGAACTTAATGTGTTATTTCATCAAAATTAGTCTCAGTCATATTGTACATATATGTGTGCAACACATATGTACATACAGTTACACATGTACATATAAATGTAGATACTGGCTTCCTTTGTAAAAAGTGGTTCTTACTATGAGTCAGGAGTACAAAAGATTGAAAGCCACTAATCTAGACATTGGGGAGTGTGCCTGCAACCTATTTAGGTCATCGTTCTGACATAAGAAAGGTAACAAGTCTATTGCTTGGCAGTCGAGGTAGCGTTTGGTAGGAGGAAGCACAAAGATAATGGGGTCAGGAAAGAGCTGGTTTAAATTTTTACTCAAGTTTCTGTAAGACATGGGTGAAAGAACAAGTGATTTATTGGGCAAGTTATTTATCTCATCTACATGATAGAATAACTCCACTATTTAGTACGGCTGTTGTAAGGTTGTCTGTGAGAATGCAGATGATAGTTCTCTATGAATTGAACTTCTTTCCCCCTTTCCCTTTACGTTGCTCTTCTTTCTTTTACTTATACCATGAGGTAATATCTATAAAATTTCCTTTTTCATATCTAAATCTCATGAATTACACACAGGAGTAATTCCTAGCTCTGGAACGTGATTGCTGAGTGATGAATTTAGGATGTTATTTCTAGTAGTGTGGGGTTATTAGGACTATTCAGTTTTAATAGTAAAGGTAGTAATAACAGCAATATCAATATCTATTATGCATTGAAAGTCTACACTATGTCTGGCACTGTGTTTGACTACGTAAAATTATTTCATTTAAACTTTAAATAGAATTTATAACTTCTCACTGTGACCCACACCTCCCACCCTGCTCATTTCCCATTTCGAGAGTATTCTGTTACATCCATGTATTTGTTCAAGCCACCAACCTCAGAGACATGCTCAATTCCTTCTTCTTCCTCACCATGGAAACCATGGATAACCCCTATTGATTCAACTTCCTAAATAGTCGTTAAATTCATCCACATATCTCCATCTTCACTGCCACTGCCTTAGTCCATACCACCTCCATCTTTGACAGGAACAGCGCTTCTCAAGTGTGGACTTGAGAACAGAAGCATTAGCATCACCTAGGAACTTGTTAAAATGCACATTTCCACATCCTCCATCCCCCCCATGAAAGCCTACTGAGTCAGACACCCTGGGGGTGGAACTACTGGTCTGTATTTTAACAAGCTCCTCAGGTAACTGTGATACTCGCTTAAATTTGAGAGCCCCTTGGAACCATGAGACTCCCAAAATAAGGAAAAGGGACACATTGTTGAGGAAATGCTAAGTTTTAAAATGTATTGAAAAACTATACCAGTAAATTATTTCTAAAAATTAACAAAAGGAACTCTCATGAGATAAGTGACTAGAGATTGAAAAATCAGATGTTCATAGTGAGGAAGAGAAGGGGCCACGTACTAAGCCCGACAAACTCAGGGGAGGCCTGCGTGGCGGCCTCACAAACTCAGAGACCTACAGTAACCACATACGATGGTCTGAAATTAAAAACTTTCTAACTAAAAGCAGGTCACAGTGGGGAGCCATGGGCTAGGCTGGTATTTTTCCATGGCAAAGGTCAATCTTTACCTCAGCTGAACCTGTCTGTTGTTCTTTTGCATCTATGATAACATACCTTTAGAATGTCAAAATTCCTTTTCCATACCCATCACAGCACAGGCACCACAAGAAAGGGAGACCACAAATCCCCTCATTGTTATCGTTCTCATGTTAATTGCTGACTGCTGCTATCCTGTACCCACCTATGTAAAAGATGTGTCTATCATTTTACTTTTTATCCAATCCCAGAGGACCCCCACTTCCACTTTGCTTTCTCCCACCTCCTCAATCACCCATGGAGTTCATGTAACTCCCTTACTCCTCCTCTTTTGATTGTAACGTAGAAAATAAGGTGCAAAACTGCCGTTCTCCAGAGCATTATCTCAACTCCTTGAGGTTTTGCTTCCTGGCAGTTGTCAGTTTGGCTCAAATAAACTCATAAAAATTCTTACAAGTCTGGATGTCTCTCATGTTGACAAGAAATGCTTGGTTTTAAAGGGCAGACAATTAAATACAGTCATGTGCTGCATAATAATGATGTTTCAGTCAACAATGGACTACATACACAACTGTGGTCCTGTAAGATTATAATGGAGCTGAAAAATTCTTATTGCCCAATGACACTGTAACATCTATGTCACGTAACCTAGTAATGCATGACTCAGACGTCTATGTTTGTGGTGATGTTGATGGAAATATACCTACTGCACTGCTCGTTGTACAGTGCAATTATATGCAGTCCATAATATGTGATAATGATTCTAAATGACTACGTTACTCGTTTGTTTATAATTCACCAGAGTTTTTATCATTATTTTATTCTACTTATACAAACAGAGTTTACCATGTTATGCTGGCAGCAGCAACATGCATCTCGTGTTTGCTGCATCTCTGGATTGAGTTATTTTCTCTCGTGCCTGATTTAGTCCCGTGCTGTTTTGTTCAGTAACGTGCTGTCCAGGCTGCATCTTAGGAGCAGTAGGTAACTAAGGGCTATGAGTGTGGTTAGGCCACGCCATCTAGGTTTGTGTGAGGGTGCTCTGTGAGGTTTGCACAACAAAATCACCTAATGGTACATTTCTCATATTGTAGCCTCGTGGTCAACCGGCACATGAATGGCTGGATGGGAATTAAAATGTATGATCCATAAGAATAGCTCATGATTCTTTTTTAAGATTTTATTTATTTAAAAACATGGAATGCTTCACGAATTTGCATGTCACCCTTGCACTAGGGCCATGCTAATCTCTGTGTCGGCCCAATTTTAGTGTATATGCTGCCAAAGTGAGCACAGAATAGCTCATGTTTTAAGGGACCAGATTCATTTAAATACTTGTTATATTTTAAAGACAACACATTTTTCTGCAGAGAAAATGGGAGATTAAGCAGAGATTAAATCTGGACAATTATAAATAATTCAGTTTATTTTTTTTTACCATACCGCCTTCCGAAATTGAGCAATGGAAATAGATTGGCCCATTGAATTTGTGCCAACCATCAGCAAACTTCTCTGGCATCCCAACCCTGGGCATTCCACAACGCCTCAGGGAACTAACTTCAAGGAGAGACTGAAAGCCTAAAATGTTTTTTCCCTAAAAAATCCCAAAGAAAATTTTTTCACAAATGCCCTTACGGTGAGCCAAGCCCATGTTAAGGCATCGCCTGTTTAAAAGCTTCTTCTCTTCTTTGAGGAGTATTTGATAAGAGATTAGAAAAGAGCTAAGAGAAATTAAAACAAAGTAAAAACAGGCCAGAAAGAGAAGGAAAATAAGCAAAATGAGGATTCAGTGTTATAAATACTTTTCTCTGAAATCTCTTCCTCCACTCTGATAAAAATTTTATTAGCTTAGTCATTTGGGTTTTCATCTGTGTTGTTGCTATGAAGGTTCTGCCTGAGTTTTTCTATCAGCCACGAACTGCCTTCATTTTACATAGCAGGACCAGCCTAGATAATTTCTAAAGCCTCTTGTAATTGTGAAATATGAAGATTTTGAACTATTCAGTAATCCACATTATAGACAAGAAGCAAAAAGTTTTGGGTGGGCTGCCAACATTGAATTCACAATGTTTGAGGCAAAGAACCAAAAGACTTGAACTCACCATAAAACTGCTTCTGAATTAAGAGGAGAGCAGTGTCCCCTGTGGAGGGCTGTCAGGTTATATGAGAGCAGCTTGACACTTAGGGAGAGAAATGAAGGAAGCAGGGAGAGGGACCCATCTTTGGAATCTTGCTCCCTGCTATTTACCTTTTCAGCATAAGAGAGTGTAAGAAAGGGAAAAAAAAAAAAAAAGGAATGTGCTAATAAGAAACCAGAGATTATAGTAAATGTTCCCAAATTATGCAAAACAAAGCCTTAAAAGCACATCTGGGAGGTATCATCCACCAACCAAACTGCTTCATCAATCTTGTCTAGTTTATAAATTTTACCCTACTTGGCTGTTTCTATTGCTTAAACATGCTTGTGAAAATATTTTTTCCATTAAATTTAAAAGCTCTAGTTAAAACTATTGCTCTGCTTCTTTGAGGTGCCATAATATTATGTACATAGAATAAAAGCATCTCACTTACAAAAATCCTGGTAACCACAGAAGGTACTTATAATCTTATCTAGGGTTGAGGTATTATCAAGGAGACTGGCTGAACAACAACCCTCCAAATAATTTATGTTACTGACATTTGCATATAACCATTTAAAAGGCAGAGTATCGATCCTAGTATAACATTCTGGGGAAAGTATGTGTTGACTCATTACAACAAAGGAAAAGCGTGATATCCTTTCTCTGCTCATTTTTAAAGAGTCCTATATTCACTACGTAAATTACTTGAGGAAGAGCCGTGAGTCTGAATGCCCTGCCAGCCGGATGCTACCCCTGTACACGGCTCCCCTCCATTCTGCTCTCTGTCTTTCATAGAGGAGCAAACATTTTGGACGACAGGGAACACGATTCTTATACTAAAAATTTCTGCCAGCTATTAAAAAGAGACACTCATCCCTGTTCCAGGTAAAAGGAAACAAAACAAAACTCATTCACTTTTCCTTCAGCTATAAAATTCTATCATTTAAAATCTCAGAAACATTTCTTTCTCTTCTCACGCAAGCTAAGCCCCCTTCTTTCCATGTATAGTAAGTGTTACAGTCCCCCTCCATTCACTCAAGGCCATTTTCCTCCCTTGGGTACTTTCTTTCAAAATGCATTTCCTGTGACACGCACACAGGCCTGGGTGTGTGGGCACGCACAGTGCGCATGCACAGCGCACACACACACAAAGGCTCAGTTATCTCAGTTTCTCTGTGCCGCTTTACACAATTGAAGATATAAATAAATGCACTTGGTGAGGACCTCATCAAAAGAGGTGGCGCCATGTGAATGTCTCAATGAGCTTCTCACACAGGGAGCTAAAGTTTGAGTGACAGGACATTGGGGTCATGGCTACTTCTTTAAATAGTGCCTCGGCCAAGCTTGGTGAAACAATTCCCTGTTTAGGGAAGCATATAGCATGAGCTTGTGGTTATTGCTGACCCGAATGAGGTTTGAAATCTAAAAGAAATATTAATATGGGAAAGCAGACACCAGATTTTCTGCACCATTTCCCTCTCAATGAACACAAATATTTTTCAAAGAACAAAAAAATAGATTGCCCAGGCATCTTTTTTTTCCCTTTGCCTTATAAATGAAACAACTAGGTGCTAGCTATTCTTTATCTAATGAATGTCCTCAAAAATCAGATGATGTTGATTTCAATAGCAAAGAGACACTTCACAAAGGATCCTTGTTCTAGAAATGAGGTCATTTGGACAGTCTCTCCATTAAGAAAAAGCCTATTTTGCTTTGAGAGGTCACCTATTGGGGCAGGAAATCCATCTTTCAGCCAGTAGACTAACATCTGGCCTAAGTCTTCTGGGCTGAAATATCAATTTCCTGGTCTAAATAGAACACATATGAAAGAAAAAAAGATGAAAAATACCAATCTTCATATGCTAAAGAATCCTTCAACAGTAGCATAGATAATAAGAATTCTCAAAAAGAAAAAATTTTTTAAAGGAGCTACTCTTTAGTGATCAACAAATTAAAAAAAGTTTAAAAATATTTTTTTCTGTAATAATTACTGCAAGGCAAAATTAAGAGACCGAAACTAAATGGTAGTGAAGAGACAAATTAACCATTCACTGGTAAAGTATAAATAAATCTAACTTAATCTAGACCAACTAATCACAATATATTATGATTCATTTTAGGCTGGGCCAGATTTGCTTTTGTACTGAGACAGAGAGAGAAAGAAGTTTATTAACTAAATTAACACTATAAAACTTTAAAAAAGACAAGTGGGAGGTTGTTTAACCAACATAGGAAAAATAATCTTTTAAAGCTTAAAGTATCATAAAACGTTTGGTGTATAATTCTTCTAAAGAAGCCAGTCATTTATACTACTTTTTCTGTTCTTTGAGAATATGCCATGATTTTGTCTAGTCTTTCTCCTACTGGTTGAAAGTAGAGAAATATTTTGTATTCATTCATTCATTCATTCACTCACTCATGCATTTATTATGCAACAAATATTGACTGCTGCATTGTGTCTGACATCACATTAGGTATTGGCAAAAGACACCCTTTGTTTTCAGGAGTATCTAACCTAGTAAGAGAGCTGGAGAAATAATTAGTCATCATATAGACACGACAAAGAGGTGCTCAGGGGAGAGAATGGTCTACCTGGCGAAGAATGGGATGAGTTCACAAAGGAGGTGATGCCTATTAACAGTTCAAAAACCACCCAATTCCCTGGCCAGTCAAGGAAGTAAAAGAAAAAACCTTCAAGGCAGAAGGAAAAGCCTAGAGGATCTAAACAAGTGGGTAAAGTCCTTGTGTGGAAGGTGGGACAGGCTCCTGGAGATAGGAAGCAGTAACCTGACTGGACAACCCTGGGAGCCAAGCTAAGGGCAGGGTTTTATGACTTAAGCCTCTTTCAGGAGGGTGACTTGCTCTAACTCCACCTCTCTTCCAATCAAGAAAGGAGAGTAGAAATGCAGGTTTGTGATACATTTTGATTATGTCCTATCAGTTACCTGTGTGACGTAAACAGTATGGAACTGCTGAAAGTTTTAAGCAGGGCAATGTTAAGCTGTCTGATTTAGGTTCATGTTATAATTAATGGCAATGTGGAGCCTAGAAGAGGTGAAATTTGAGGCAAGGCAGTTTTTATGAGTCATGCTCTTCATCTAGGCAAGTGGTTACAAAGATTAATAACAGGACACTTCAGCACATGCATGAGCAGCCCCTGCTTGATCCCACACTGCTTTTCCAGCTTGATTTTCTGTTCTGATCCAACACAGAACTACTCTGGTAGGCTCTTATCTACTTTTCCCCACATTCCCTATATTCCCTGTCTTCTGCTTCTCTATTTGTTCAGTCTATTTATTTTTCCTGAAATACTCCTGCTTTCCCCCAGTTTTATTGAGATATAGTTGACACATTACATTGTGTAAGTTTAAGGCGTACAACGGGTTGATCTGATACATTCATTGCAAAATGGCTGCCACCATAGCATTGGCTAACATCGTCATCACATCCTTACAATTCCTTTTTTTGTGGTGAGAACATTTAAGATGTATTCTCTTAGCAATTTCCAAGTATATAATGCAATCTGGTTAACTATAGTCACCATGCTATACATTAGGTCCTCAGAAATAATTCATCTAATCACTGGAGGTTTTATCCTTGACCAACATCTCCTATTATTCCCATCCCTGGCTCTTGATAACCACCATTCTACTCTCTGTTTCTATGACTTTGGCTTTTTTAGATTCCACATATAAGTGATATCAGATAGTGTTTGTCTTTCTCTCTCTGGCTTACTGCGCTTAGTAAGATGCTAGCAAGGTCCATCCACATTGTTAAAATGGCAGAATTTCCTTCTTCCTCCTGACTGAATATATAATATAATATAATATATTATTATATATTATATATTATATATTATAGACATAATCTTCTTTATCCAATCATCTGTCAATAGACACTTAGGCACATAGGTTGTTTCTATGTCTTGGCTATTGTGAATAATGCCACAATGAACAGGATAATGCATCTATCTCTTTCAAATCCTGTTTTCATTTTCTTTGGGTATATACCCAAAAATGGGATTGCTGGGTTATATGGTAGCTCTAGTTCGAATGTTTTGAGAAACCTCCATACTGTTTTCTGTAGTGCCATTTACATTCCTACCAAATGTGCACAAGAGTTCCCTGTTCTTAGGTTTCTTTGTATTTTGAAAGAGATGCAAGTGTTTACGATG